AGCTTGCCCTCGGGAAGTTCCGGTGAATTGTCTGAGTAAGGAAGAGGCATCCGGTCCACTAGGGTGACAACCAAAAGGAGAAAATGGACCAATACTCCCAAATCTACTCCTACCCTATCAAGCTCTGCCCATCCAGGCATTCAAAGTCGCCCAAGCATTCAAAAAAGTTCGCCAAAGACGGATTTAGGGGTTTCGCTTATGCACTTTACATCTGGAATTGGAGCCACGGAAAAGCTACAGAGTGACAAAAACGAAGCGAAATATTGGTGGACACTGTCTTTACGCGACTGCCAACAGTCCGAATTACCCTAAGATCTTGGAGATAAGTATACTATGGCTTGGGTTTATAAATTCTAAAGCTTAGCCGTCGAAGCGCTAAGCTGAATGGGAAAAAGGCATGCCGCATGTCATCGGAAAGCGCTAAAAACAGTTTTGAGTGGTGTATTCTTCAAGATCTCCTTTCAACCGGCTTTTTCCTATTTTGAAAGCCGAGGTCCTACTTTTCTCTTTGGAAGACTTCATTTTCTACAAAGCTCAAAGGATTGATTTGAGCCTAGTTAGACCACGATCCGATATGTTTGGGGAAGCTCTCGTAAAAATTCAAAGTTGTTACAGAGGCCCTACTTTCTTGCAGTTCTAATCATGAAAAATGCATGATTTAAGTCAAAAATCCATGCTCTTCAAAAGCAGACTTATGTGTAAGATTTTGATGAATCTGTGTGCAGTTATCAGTGTCTACCACATCTAGTTTCAACTCTTTTTTCAAAAAGGCCTTTTTCGCAAATTTGACGAAACGAACAGTACCACTGAGAGATTTCCTCAAAAACTTGTCTGCATGATCATTTCATGGAATAACTTTTCTTATATACCAAAAACTTGAGCAGGTCAACGCTTGAATTGGATTGGGTTTTGCAGACCCAAAATGGGGAAAAAAGGAAGATGCAATTTTTGGCTCAGTACTGACCTTTTCTCCTCCACATGCGGCTCAGTTAAAACTTAGTTATCGAATCTCATTGTCACAATTTTTGAGTCTTCGTTTCGTGCCATCATTGCACTAACTAGAAAAAAGCATACGAAACAATAATTTTTATTGTGGAATAAAAACAACTAAAAAACCCGTGATAAACTACTACGAGAGGATAACATTACAGAGAACGATATGAACATGGTGGTCATTGCTGACGGATATTAAGAAAGTGTATAAAATTGAGCAAAAAAGTCATAAGGTAGTCGATGAGTACAAATGCACTGAGGAAGGTAGATAGTGGAAAATGCA